TGATAAACATCAAATGAGTCATCGTTATACATCATCTGAACTGGAACAGTTGTCTTATCATCTACATGGAAGACATCTTCACGTGTGTCCCTTGGATCAAAGGGAATTTCCCATTTTCCTACAAAATACAAGTAAAAGTTTAGATTTAGATACAGTAATTATAGTTAAATTAATGTAAAATGTTTGAGGTCAAATCGAGGCTCATACAACACATAGAGCACATTTTCTCAAAAACATATTAAAAAATACAGTAGTTGTGAATTGTCTTCATAACCACGATCATTAATTCAGTGAAAGTGGATTATAAAACTGAGCAGTTAGACTAATACTGTAAATAGTATTGACAAACATGTCACAATATGCAGAGTAAACAATTGGTCAGAGTTTCATACTTGCATTAATAAGTATTATACATGCCTTGAGCAATAAGAAATGGCTATTATTCATAAAATTAATTGAGCTGTGAATTTCACTTTATACTAATACTACACATCTTACCTCTGAAATATATGTAGCTGACAAGGAACATCATTATGTTTGTATCCAAGTCATCTAAAAAATTGGGGACTATGCCATGAGTTTTGTCCTCAACATACTTGTTTATCAAATGCAGCACTGCAGTGGTGTTGGTGAAGTCAATAGTGAAACCTTCTGAGTGGAAATAGTGTTAAATGTCCTCCAGAAATTTTGAAAGAGGTTTGAAATTCTCACAGATGAACACTGCATTTCGAACAGACACGTCCAGTTCTTTCTTCTGATTGAGACTTTGGAGGATTTGTTCAAAGGCTTCATTCACTTCTGCTTCAGTGGTGTCAGTTTTATTGAAACCGAGACCTTGAAACAGCTCATCATGCGTCTTGCCCATTGCACCCAATGACAGCATGGCAAGGGCAGTGGAGATGCTCAGGGGAGAGAAGATGAGGGTTTTAGATTTTGAAACTGTCTGTGCAGCAATGTGTTTATACAAACTGAAAGCAAATTCAGCATTCGCAGATTGTACCTCTAAACTGTAATTATGGTGGTGCCTGTGACCACGGTGATGTCCATGACCTTTGTGATGACCATAAGCTTGGTGATGTCCTTTGCCATGAGAATGAATATCATCACTATGATGACCCTTATGGTTTTTAGTATGGACAGCAAAGCAGAGTGCAGCTACTGTGATGCACAAATAAATCGCCTTTCCCATCTTGATCATTACTGTTTTTTATGGACTAACTGTGGGCTCTGTCAATAACATAACATACATAAATCACTAATAATACAAATATAGTGAGAGATTAATAACTATTAAGATAATTACATTTTATTTGGAAAACAAGTTCATCAGTCTGCTAAGAAATTTTAATATTTATCATTTTGCTTGAATATTTTCTCTAAAGCTAATGAAATCAGGCAAATCTGCTTTGCACACCCACAGGTTAAGAATGGGTTATTTTTTTTACCCTTTAATTAAATATGAGAAAAAACATGGTAATGCTAAATCAGTCGTTATGTTATATTTCAGGACTTCCTTTTGAATTTAGTCTTAATGAGCGCATCAATGCACTAGTAACGATCCAACACGGCACTTCTATTACATTCCATAGAGCTGGAATGCTGGCAAAATCTGCATCAACGTATGTTGAAATAAATATAATTCTGATCAGTTATTGTAAAATTCCTGAAATTTATTTAAATACAAGTGTTTTCCAATAGAGGTGTCACAGATCTCATCCTAGATTTCACTGGCACATTCAGCACTTACTGTACCGCTTTTGCCTACCTTGTGTTGCTGAGTGTTTCTCTGGTCTTCATCCCAGTTGCTAGGTCTCTCAGGAGTTATGAAACGACTTGTTTACTTGTACCAGTCAACAACCTCTAGACCCTTTACTATCAAACAATCTCCAGTCCCATTTCATATGTAGTTAAGCAAGATATTTGATTGTTGACAGAGTAAACTTTGGGTATAATGAAGGCTAAAGTTTTTTAGATTATATTTCCACATTTTTTACAAGTTGAAATTTATGGGTTTTTTTTCAAAAAGATGAATAGAATCATACTGTATGATACTGTACTGTACTGAATAGTACTGTATTTGCTTTTTTCAAAAGGTTTTCAGAGTTTTTAGAGAAAATCCTAAATATTACAACACTGCTAAAGAAAAGCAGTTCACTTTATATAAAACAGACCTTTCGCATATTATTTAATTTATAAGTATGTTATAAGTAATGTAATAAATGTTTAATAAATGTTTATATTTAAAGATAAATAGAAACCAAAGGATTCAGTGCAGTGTTCTAGAAATCCTTCTTTACAAAAACATTCAATTCCTAATATTTTCAGATGTGGTGTCTGTCACCTGAAATATAGCCTGGTTTTCTTTATTTTCTGTAATAACGTACATACTGTACTGTACAGTCAGTATCTGAGCAGGAACAAATCCACTGTGCCTAGTATAAATCAGAGTCTCTGAGGTGAATTGGATAAATGGGAGTAGTAGAAATAAACTTGAATCCAGTTTCTGTGAACAGAAGTCAGATTTTTGCGTATTTTACTGCAGAAAGGATTACTCTCTTCACTCTTATTCAGAGAATTTGTTTGATACAGTAGATGGAGAAAACTTAAAAGTCTCTTTAAATTTGGATTCATTACAACATATGCTGTATACACTATGCCCCAATTATGTTTCAAGTGTTTACAGTCTCATTGTATTCTTTTGATTGCTTTTCAGATCACTCATGAAATCAAAGACATGACAGAACCAACCCTTGTTAAAACTCACAACGGACTTCACACTACTGTACATGTAGCCAGTTTTATTGCAGAAACGTTTTTACAATTGAATTGGCTCCTCGGCAGTTTTTATCTAACTTAAGGCAAATTTAATATTAAGGTAAATCTTGTGTCAACATGTCATGATTTCGAAAGGAAGACCTAGTGAAAAGCAAATGAGCGCTATCTTGCTTCAAGGAAAATAAAAATAGTACCTATTCATAGTAGATGGAAACAAAGGGAAAATGTGTAGCTGTACCAAGTTAAAGATTTGGAGATATTTACTATTATTCATGGTTTACGAAAACAATTTTATTTCTCTTCATGTTGTAGCATCACACTGTGTTTGAATGGGGTACTCAGGGACCAGCAGGGACCATTATAATTTAAAAATATATATATTTTTATTCTAATAACATCTTAAATTCATAGGTCAGAAGACAGTAATTAGGGCATAGCTCAAAATAGAGCATTTGATTGATGATCAAGACGTTTCTACTTCACATCTGAATTCTCCATATAAAACCACATCCCTATTTATTTACCCAACAGGCTAGGTGAGCCAAATAACACCCTCCAATTTTCAACTGTTCATACATGGTAATAAAGAGCAGCAGACACAGTCACTATGGAACTATAAATGTTAAGTTCTTGTTTAAAATCTCTAGAAATCTGAGGTAAAGTGTGAGCATGGGTTTACAACAGTACTTGTTGATTACAGTGGTATTTAGAGGTTATATTTTTCACAAAAAAGGCTCTGTTGTAGACTGATTCCATAAATTATTTTGATTTTGGTATACTTCTTGTTATGGGCCTCCAAAAGGATAACAGTTACTTACTGTGATGTAAGTTGAGCTTTATTCAGAAAAGGACAAGATAGGCTGATAGTTAGCCTGACATAGCCATTCATTTTTAAGTGATGTACTGTTACAAAAAATGCCAAGATTAACAGATATTGTGAGGGAACTAGAGAAGCTGGATATGAAAAATGTGCCCAATAAGGAATTGATTCCAGATGTCCAACAGTGACAAATATTCCTTTTTTTTTTCTTTACCATGATTGTGAATATTTTTGGTGTACATCTTGTCCTCTATTTTTCTGTAGGATTGACTATTTTTCCCATGAAAAATACACTCCTAGTTTCATGATTACCAATTATGAAAAGGAAAGGACGATTGAAAGTCAAGCTTGGAGGCAAACTAGTAAGTATAATTTCTACACCAGTGACTCCAGTTGCTGTAGTTCCTATTTCATCCACATCTAGTGTTGCTTTGTGGACAACCTGAAAAATATCAAACAACAGGCATGTCATATTGCATTCTGAGCTGACATTAATACAGTATATTTCTAAAATGGTTAAAAATATCCTTAACATTAAAACAGTGTAATAGACATAATATTATATGCTATAGCTTATACAATATGCTTATTCTAAAACTGTATTGTTATATTAAAGTTAAGTGTTCTATTAGCGACACATCTTTCTTTCAGTTTCTCAGTTATATCTTGTTCATTGTATTTTCTGTTCACAGAATTCTTTAATACACTATAATTTATGTAATTCCCTTGAGATTACATTGTATTGAAAGGTACTATTTACTTTTGATTGACTAACTGATTGAGATGGCAATAATTTCCTAATAAATATATTTTTACATTAAGACTAAGACAAAATTGTAGCAATAGAACAACTCAGATGAATGAACACTCTGTATTTTAGATACAATTATCTAGAAAGAAACCAATTTGCTTCTTAGAAGATTTGTTTACTACCACCATCACTATTTTGAACTGTAATAAACAGTATTGCAAAATGTGCTAATTGGAAACAAAATACAAATGTATACTTATGCAAAATGAAACAGAAGTTAATTTGCATCAATAGCTGAATGAGTATATCTATTATATGCATAATAAATATATACTAATATATTTGAAATAACAATGCATTGAGCTCAACTTATTTGAATAAACAAACACCTGGTGCTCAATATTCTGGTATTTGACCTGGGTTAAAATTCCCTGAACATGTTAATTAATAATCTGTATAACTGCCTAATTATCTTGTCCTAAAGTGTTAAAGACTGGCCTAGGAATGATCACATCAGTCTGTGTAACTGTTATCAGAGTACCATGGCTATAGTGTGAGACATGTTGGGAAGAAATAACCTGAACATTTGGAAAATGTCTGAAGATCTGCATGTAAATAATCGGCATGATTGAAGGTGTGTTCAGGGTAATGCCTAGAGCTGAGGGATGAAGTTACAATTTCTTTTGGACTTAAGAACATCTAAGTTGGCAGCATAGCAGGTAGACCTGGAGTGGAGTTTTACTCACTGAATAAGACCACTTTGCATGTCACAGACCTGACATAAAACAATATGTTGGGAAATGTTGTGGTAATACTGATTGTTGTATTATACAAGACAACATATGTAGAGGTGAAGGGTGATGATAGTGTAGAGAATTTGCTTTAACAGAAGAACAGCTTTGGTGCAAACAGGGGAAAACCAAGCTGTTCAGCAATACTCTGACAAAGGCCAGTTTGGATGTGTTGAATGTACCACTGTGGCTTTTCTGTGGTCACTGTACCTTTAAGAGAGCCCTGACAAGCTTAAAGTGAGCAATACATTTGAACAGTTTTTGATTCAAATGGTCACATACATGGTCACAAAATCCTAAGTACCTTTAAAAAACCTATTATTTTTCTCTGCTGTAGAACCTTCTGAGTGGCACACAATTCAGAAACAAATTCTAAATTGTGATATCAGTAGTGATACTGTAAATGAAGGCAGAATTTTCCCACTATAGGTTCTAGTTTTTATCAACAATTTCTAACACCTTCCTAGTGTTACTGTATGCGTGATCAAGCTGGTATGCAAGGTTAAAATGTGCATCCTGAAACAATGGAATTTTGCCAGTTCCACACAACAGTTTTATCATTGTGTTAAAAAGGCATGTATCAAATGCTTTTAATTCCAATTTCCACTTCATGTAATACTGAACAAGTGATTTTCAAAACAAGACTTTACCTTTGAAACAGCCAAATTTTCGTTTGCTATTCCCGAAAAGTTTGCACTTTGATCAAACATATCCCTCATTCCCATTTCAGACAGGACGTCCTTCAGTGAATAAGATGTTGAAACTGAAAATTTTGGCACACTCAATAAATATCGTCTACAAAAGTAAAGAAGAGTTCATGTTAATCTTTACTATACAGTACACCATGTTCAAAACCCACAATATTTAATGCTTAAGATTCTCCTACACTATATAATAAAACAACAAACTAATACTTCAGTTATTCAATGTCCACATGTGTTTGTTGACATTTAAACATTTTTATATAAAAATTTGCAATTCAATATATCAGGGTATCTTTGGAAGGGAGTGAATACTTTTCCAAAGCACTGTGAATGAAATATGAAATGTACTTACCAAGACTGGAAATAAAAAAAGAAAGCTTTTGTGTTGTATGTAAATGAACATAAATGACAAATCTCCTGAACGTGCACTAAGAAGATAACATTCATATTATCAACACCATGTATAAAGTACTTATTATATAAATCTAGTAGTAGTTGTACTTTTTAGTTATTGTTTTACTTCATTAGGAAACGTTATTTAGAATTACAGATGAAACGTTGTGTTTTCTCTCTTCTCTTTTCAGCATGGAATAAACCTACTACTTGTTCCTGATTTAGAATTATTCTGGTTACGTCTTCAGGCCATTGTCATGCTGAATGACAACCCTGCTAACATGTCATCATCCTGCTGACATTGGGTTATGAAGAAGAATGGAACGATTTAGCATGTTCATAACTGGTCAAAACTCTCTTTTTTCTATTTATTCACCAGAAAAATGACCCCATTTTCATGGAAATATCACCTACCGTTTTTTCACTGATCTGTGCCATTTCCCCAGATGCTCTCTGCACCAAGTCTCCTCCAAATCCTTAATTCCTTTTTCAGGCAGAAGGAGCATCATTGAGGCTCCTCCTTTGTAGCCAAGCCTCAGAACATGAGTGGAAGCCTCTTTGTCATAATAAACATCAAATGAGTCATCATTATGCATCATCTGGACTGGAACAGTTGTCTTTTCATCTACATGGAAGACATCTTCACGTGTGTCCCTTGGATCAAAGGGAATTTCCCATTTACCTATAAAGATAGATTAAGGTTAATAGTTATTATAGTAAAATAAATATTATAGAAAAAATGCCTGATATCAAATCAAGACATACAAAAAGAAATATAGACCATTTTCTCAACAACATAAAACAGATGTGAATTTTGTTCAAAATAAGTCATCAATGAATGTTGTTTTGAACAGTAGTTATTGGATACTTTTTTATTGGACATCTCAGACACAATCTCATCTTCGACAGTGTAGAAAAGAAAAGTAAGCAATGGAAAATTCAAGTTTCATTAGACTATAACATATTAAGGTCAAATGTGTCACAATATCTATATTATATTTTTTATATTTTCTATTTGTTGTCAGTTTCATACTTGCATTATTAAGTATTGAAGATTATCTTGAGGATAAAATAAATTAAGCTGTGAAATGAACTATATACTAATACTAGACATCTTACCTCTGAAATATATGTAGCTAACAAGGAACATTAGAGTATCCGCATTCAGGTCATCTAAGAAATGTGGGACTTTGCCATGAGTTTTGTCCTCAACATACTTGTTAATCAAATGCAGCGCTGCAGTGGTGTTGGTGAAGTCAACAGTGAAACCTTCTGAGTGAAAATAGTGTTTAATGTCCTCCAGAAATTTTGAAAGAGGTTTGAAACTCTCACGGATGAACATTGCATTTCCAACAGACAGGTCCAGTTCTTTCTTCTGATTCAGACTTTGGAGGATTTGTTCAAAGGCTTCATTCACTTCTGCTTCAGTGGTGTCAGTTTTATTGAAACCGAGACCTTGGAACAGCTCATTATGCGTCTTGCCCATTGCACCCAATGACAGCATAGCAAGGGCAGTGGAGATGCTCAGGGGAGAGAAGATGATGTTTTTAGTTTGTGCATCTGGCTGTGCAGCAATGTGTTTATACAAGCTGAAGGCAAACTTAGCATTTGCAGATTGTACCTCTAAACTGTAATTGTGATGATGCTTGTGGCCATGGTGATGCCCGTGACCTTTGTGATGCCCATGATCGTGGTGATGCCCGTGATCATGGTGATGCCCTTTACCGTGAGCATGATCATCATCACTGTGATGATGGTGGTTACCCTGGACAGCAGAGCAAACTAGAGCTGCTGTGATGAAGAAATAAATTCCCTTCCCCATCCTGATAGGTATTTTTTTACAACAGTAGGCACTGTTAATAAAAACAACAAACACAAATCAATAAAAATACACACAGTATATACAGTGAGAGAATAACAAATATTAAGAAATCCTCATTTAATTAAAAAAAGTTATTTGGTCTGCTAATAAGCTTTAATGTTTTATAATCTAACTAGGAAAGGATCTCTTTCATGAATGAAATCATGCAAATCTACTGTACTTTAAACAGCAACTGTAACAGAATTTTTCTGATTTATAAATTAAATGTTTTAAAAATATTAATATTAATATTTAAAAAGGTGTATTTGGTGATACCAAACTAGTCCTTAGGCTCTACTTCAGTACTCCTTTTTTAATTTTGTTTTACTGAACATGAACACTTTGAAATTCTGAAAATACTTTGCATTTTCATTCATTCAAGGATTTTCAACTCTAAGGATTAATGCAATTCCATTATATTTCATGTTTCAGTGCTGATCAAGTTTGCATCAGGCCATGTAATTAATAATATAATCTGAAATAATAATAATAATGATAATAATCATTTATAATAATTAAAATCAATGTATTTCTCTATCACTGGCCAGGAGTTTTAAAAGCCCTGAAATTATTTAAAAAATAACAAATTCACATGTGACGGTTACATATATCACAGATCTCAACCCAGATTTAAATGGAAAGGAAATTCAGAAGAATTCAGCACTTACGTTTTTTCTCTGCCTTGTGTTGCTGTTTTGTTCTCTGGATTTCATCAGAATATATACTTCTCTCAGGAGTTATGAAACAACCCCTCGTTTACGTTTACCAGTCAACAACCTCTAAATATTTTACTGTCAGACAACCAATAGTCCAGTTTGATAAGTACTTAAGCAACCTGTTTTACTATTGACAGAGAGCAAACATAAGGTATAGTGCTTGCTAAAATGCTGACTTTTTAAAACAGTAGTATGTATTGACTTTTCACATTTTTTATAAAAGCTGAAATTGATTCTTTTCCCTAGAAGAAAAATAGAATCATATGTGCTTTTTTCAAAGGTTCTATCAAATCGGAAAAAAAAACCCAACAAGTTCCATATTGTAAATACTATTAAAGAAATAATCAATCTTTTGAGATAAAAAAGCTCTTTCATATATAATTTATAGGATGTTATAAAGTACTGCAGCTTTAAGGTTTCTATAAATTAGAATACAAAGGATTCAGTGCACTTTAATTTGAAATTCAAGCATTTCACAGGTTACATTATTACATTGACAAACTGTCACCACATCTTTCTGCAGTGGTAAAGTCTATTCGTGATTTCACCTTTTTAACTGGTCAAGCAATCACTTATGAGATTGAAACTCATTTCTTATTTGCACTTAAGCTTTCTATGATCCTGATGTAAGAGATCAAAAGTTCATTTCTCCCATTTACATTGAAGGGACAAATTGAACATATGCCTTTTAGGAATTAACAAATAAGTACAAACAGAGATACTATGCAATGAAGCCTATAATTAAAGGATTATTTTTTTTCATTTCGCTGAGATTTAAATGGCAGTGTTCTCATTGTTCTAATGTAGTACTTTGATGTAGTGCTGTAGCCCCTGAGCATTTAAGAGAAAAGGTGAATATTACAGTGACCTTGCTTAAAAGCAATGTTGCTTACCTTACATACTGTAAATGTATATACAGTAGGTGATATAACAAAAGCACTGTTGTACTAGGTAGGATAAAAGTTTATAGTGCTAGATACTGTATCCCTGGTCCTAGAGGGCTTGGAGGGCTTCATGTTGTTTGTCCACCAATATTAATTAAACATGAACAAGACATAAATCTGCTTATTATTGACTTAGTTGGACCATTTTAACAGCTCCTCTCAGTTCTTCAGATGCTGCTGTTCTCAAGAGAGTGAAAACCTGCAGACACTGGCCCTCAAAGACTGGGGACCCAGGCTGCAGAAAACCTGTAATGCTCTACTTTTTAACATACCTGTCCTTTGTTCATGTGATTATTAATTAACTTACTCTTTATATTACAAAAATGTGTTCTCATTACAAAATGTGTTAAATACATTTAAAACAGCAGTAGGTGTTTTTCATTTGCATTTCAATCTGTATTCAGTTTCTAGGCCTAAAATAATTGTTTGTCTTCAAGCCCATGTGTTTTCAACAAAAATGCAATTATGTTAATTTTAGATAGCTTGAATAGAAAAGTAAGAACCTTTAGAAAGAATGGACAGAAATAAACATCGCTTGGAAAAAATAGGGAGAATACAGGCAATACTGAAAAACTTACAAGCCCACAAAAAGGAATTTACATAACATAAAAATGGTTACAAATGATGTCACAACAGCAACGTAGAACATTATTTTTGTTGGCTAAAATTGTGTATTTTAAAGTGATCCTAAATTATTTCTTAAACTAAGATTTGCTTCACTTTTTAACACCCCTTTAGTATTAATAATTTAATTACAAGCATATGCCAATCTTTTTAAATATTACATATAATACTTCACATATTATTACTACTTCTTAATGGTAATGATACATCTCAGTTTCAGTCAGTGTTTTGCTGTATATATAGCACAGAGATTGTTTAGGTTTCATCAAATTATCAGCTCATGAATGCATCTTAAATTAAAACAATTATTCCAAACCTTCATTAGAACTCCATTTCGAATCTGGGTCATGTCATTAGCCAGCAGTGACCAGGATTCCCCAGGCAGAGGCACACAATTGGCTAGGTGGGGATAAGTGGAGGATAAGGATAAGGTGGGAATAGTCGCTGCTGGTAAATGACAAGGCAACGTATGTGGTCACCACCAGCTTCAATCATTCGGATCTCTGAGCACCTTGTAATGTGCCCATTGATGCATATAGAAGGCATCAGTGTGTGGGATTGATTATATACAGCCAGAGAACTAGACTTAATGTGGTGACATCTGTCACTTTCAATTGAAGCCACTGAGGAAAAACAGAACCCAAGGATCCAGCAAAGACGTGTTTGCTTCACATAAAAGGGAGGATTGTCACCTTTTCGTCCTTCGGTTAAGTTGAACGGGTGAATATTGGAGCAGCATTCTCTGTCCTCCAGGTTCCTCGGCTAATCTTGAAATGTTGTCAACTATTTGAAAACCGTGACCAACACCTTTTTTTAGCCCGATGCAACTCTGCTTTCAGTGTAGCCACATTGAAAGCCACAGGTTTTTCCATGATCTTGACCTGACAGGTGAAATCCTGGCCAATAGAAAGGAATCATGTGACATGAAAGGATATTAGCATTATTCATCTATCCGTTTTTTAGACCACTTTATCTAGTTCAGGTTTTCAGGATAGACTGAGGCTATCCTGGCACCAACAGGCACAAGGCCGTATACACCATGGATGGGATGCCAGTCCATCCACAGGCACATGTTCACACTAGGGATGATTTTCCCAATTAACCAGTATGTCTTTGGACTCTAGGAGGAGACCCACATGAACACGGGGTGAGAATACTGTACAAACTCCTTGCTGACAGCACAATAGGAATTGAAACCAGGGTACCAGCCAGAAATCTGGCCTAACTAAAATAATTTTAAAACTTATTTTTCATAATAATTTAATCCAGTACAGTATATGATACTATATATACAGTATATAGCAATTGCTCTCACCTCTGCCAGTCATTTAGGCTCTAGCTGTTATCCCACTTAAATTCCTCTCTATCAGGAACAACACCAATTTCTAAGTGTTTCTTCTTCTTTTTCAATAAAGAATAAACCACTTTTCTGCATAAATCCCTAAAATGCATCTCATCAATGCTCCAGTTGGAAAAAAAAGATGTCCAGTCTTTTCGACATATTTCAAAACTATGCTCTGAAACTTTTTTGGTATCACTCTATGATGGCCTCCGATGAGAAAAATAACTTTAATCTCATTATTGTTTTTTTAATTAAATTTTATACAGTAGCAATGGGATTGTGACTGCTGCTGGCAAGCCATAACATTCATTCAGTTCAGTGTACAGTATACTAACAAGGAACATTTAGTGAAAGGAAAGAATCAAGGGTTCACAGAATGTTTAAAAAAACATGGCACATCTCAGTCAAAAACCTTTTACAAACAATTGTCAAATACTTCCAAGTCCTAGATGTTACAACTTACAAATCCAAGAACTTTCAGTTTTCAAAGACATTATATGAAATCTATATAGATTTTAGGTACTGAAGGGACTCCAGTTCTTTAAAATATAACCTTTTCAATTAAGAGTTCCTTGTTAATGGGCAAACCATACACCAGTTCAATAATATCTTTACAGTATGTTGATTTAGATTGGACTTGCACACAGAAAGAGCTTATGCAGTAGAATTCAGCACTTACCGTTTTCATCTGCTTTGTGGTCCTATTTTTATCTCAGGACTTTATCGGAATTTATACATTTCTCAGGAGTTATGAAACAACACCTTGTTTACTTTAACCAGTCATCAACCTCTAAACCCTTTACTAACAGATAACATTTAGCCCGGTAATGTTACTATTTATGCAAATACGAATTGTGGAAACAGCTGAAAAGATCATTGGAGCCTCCCTCCTTTCCATTTCTGTCACCTATGACAAACCCTGCTTACACAGGGCCTCCAGTATAGTAGATGACTCCTCCCATCCCTCCCAAAAACTCTTCAGCCTCCGCAGTGTAAGGGCCAGCTCCACCAGACTCTGGAACAGCTTCTTCCTGCAGGCTCTCAGGCTCCTCAACACCCTGGAATCTACTTGCACCCACCCCAATTCCAGAAACAGGGTTTAAATCCTCCCCAGTGTGTTGTGTTTATTGTGTTATGTATTTGCCTTGAAATTTGCACTATCTGCACTTTTTTACTATGTGTATCCTGTCTACAATATCTGTGTCAGTGTCCTGTCTGTCCTGCCTGTATTTGCACCGTGGATGAGGAGGAACGATATTTTGTTCCACTGCATACTTGTATATGGCTGGAATGACAAATAAACGCAAACTTGAACTTGAACTTGAACTACCAGTAAAGCAAACTTTAGGTTTAATGAAGACTAATGTTGACCTTTCACTAGCAGTACATATTGCTTCTGCAACACTGTACAAAATCTGAACCTGATAAATGAATCTTTTCTGAGAAAAATATTTTCTCAACTACGCAGGATGTTCTGTGTATTTTACTGCATGAGTTACATGTGAAGCACACTGGATCTCTTGCAATTAAACATACAACAAAGTGTCATACCATATGTAATTAAGAGGAATTCCATAGAAAAATAATAGTGTAACCAAGTGGCTTAGAATTTCAAGTTCTCAAGACAAAAAGATAATAAAAGATAGGTACAGTGTTTACAGGAAGATCTTAAATGTTCACAAAGATGATAGATGAAAGTGATTATAGGAAGAACCATTACTTTCATAAACAGAGTAATTGATCATGTTTTACCAATATGTTAAACATGTGCCATGAAATTATGTTTTAAATAAAAACATCATTTCAATATTACATTCGGATTTATGCTGTTTAAGAGTAAAGAATAAAATGCTTTCTCTATCAAATGATTTGTAGTTTAAGTCTCTGAGAAGTGAACAACCATTTTCTTTGAAATTAGAAAAAGATGTCTAATCAATCCCACTCTCACAGCAGATCCATGAAATTCTAGTACATCTAATACTAACAATGTTACTGCTCCTGTAAGATTGAGGTTTATGTTCTCAAGTTTTATGTTACCAAATCTCAAATAATGTGTTTGTGTTGTTGCTCAGAAAATGTCAAAGAACATTTGTTCAAAACTTGATTTGCTGACGCCTTTAAACCCTTACCATACTGTAACCAAGTTCCAGGAAATAAGCTGAAATGTAACAATGTTAAATACAAATAGCAATATCTATTCATTCACTGCTATGTTTTAACAGCAAATTATACTGTGGTTTAAAGAGTCTGGAGTTTGTGATTTGGCTCATGAAAACGTGACAGGGAGAAAGAATTTCGGAAGAAATGTGTTGGGAACAGAAGAGGGTGGGGTTAAGAGTGTGCCAACACCAAATACCTCTGCATTATATGGAAAAGATCTAGGGACCACAGAGAGGTCTCTGTAAATCAACTTTAGAAAGTTTTTTTTCCCTTAAAGAAATAATTTGACTGTATGGAGGTAAAAATTGGAGACTGGGCGATCCTGAAAGACTCAACCAATTTGATGAGCCTGGAAATCCCCACATTATCAGTGTCAGGTCAGGGCTAGGCGATTAGGTGAATGTAAAAGGGACTGTCCGAGTGATGGAGTACAATTGCCAGAGAACCACTGGGTTTGGATGGTCTTTAGTGGACCATATTGTTCTTGGTTTGTGCAAAAGTAACACAATAGGTACCAGTGAGGTGGAACTGTTGTCATGAGAGACAAGCTATTCCTCCAGTTAACTCTCCTGTAAGGCACTGCATAACTTTTAGCATAAGAAAAGATTGGATAAGAGAATGAGAGTGCTTATTTCTCATTTCTCCTGTTCTGGTGCAGGGATTCTAGTGATGAGTGAATTTAATCAAGATGACCTATCATTAAGAGGTTATGGAACTGAAAAAGGACTTGTAAACCCAACTAAGAACAGGTAAAGCAGAAGACAAAAGTAAGCCTAGGCTATAAAAGCTGTACACAGTCCTAAGCTAATACTGGACATTTGGAGGAAAGCTAACAATCTCAGAAAATGAAAAATTAAATGGTTTAACATAGTAACAAAATATAATGATCACAGTAAAAACAAAAGAACTGGCAAATAGACAGATAAAAGGAAATACATTTTGCTTACTCCAAAAGTTAAATATAAACTATAGTGCTTAAAACAGCACAAAGTGCAGATGTTTTGGTCAAAATGTAACTATCTGAAGTGGTGAAGAATGCAAAAGAAAGCAAAAAATGAGCATTTAAAACTGTCAATTTGGCAAAGTCAGCATTGCAATTAATGTCAAGCATCCAAATAAAATCATTAAAGGACAACAAAAATATAATTTGATATCAGTTTAAAAGGAATAAACATCTAAGAACATACAAAACAGTTACAAGTGAGGAGAAGCCATTTGGTCCACCTAGCTCATTTGGTTTTCCAGCACCCAACTGATAACATTTTGAAAAATAAAAATATTCAACAAGGTCAAAGTGATGAATGTTCTCAAATTAAGATCTGGCAACAAGTCAGGTTTGTACATTATTGAACATTTCTTTATTTTCCAAAACAAAAACAAAAAACAACACAATTTAATAGTAAATATCTCAACAGCAACATCATATACTGTAAGTCACATCAATAACAACTCAATTTCCAAAACAAATTTTAAAGAGATACTCCTGGTGCGTTTTGGTAGTTCTTAAGACTTCACAGGAACACTGCTCCGAAGTATTTTTAAAATCCATTTTTGTTGGTTTGAATTTACATCCAAAAATACACTCGATTCTTGTCATTTTATGTAAGATATTTCTAGTGTTATTTTTATTTCACAAGCTTGTAGATTTAGCTAATAACATTAAACAACTTGGAATTATTGATTCATTTGGGATATTTATGTCTTACTAGTTCTTCAAAAACTTAAAAATGCTGATTAGAAAATCTCACATAGTTTGTAGAGCATCTGAATGTGAAAAACAAAACATCACACTGGATACCAATGCATTGTCCTAAAGAAGAACATCTTCTACAGCCTTTTTATGTTTCATGATAGCACAAAGAAATGCATTATCTTTGACAGAGTATTACTACTGCTGTATTATCATAGAGGGGGAACTTAAATGCTTTTAATGTTTAAATTTTATTTTATCCATGTATGAGTTTAGAGAAAAAATGCTAAATTACTACTTTAAAAAATCCACATAGTATTCATGCTATATATAGCATAAACACTATGTGGACCTGAAGAAGGCTACAGGGCCGAAACGTTTCGGCTGACATCAAATCTAGCTTATCTTACATGGTAAGGCCTACGCAGGACCTACTGTACATCTCTGCTCTCTGGGTCTGTCTCACATATTACAAAAGACAGTGACTGACAACGGCTCAACCGTATCTATGGTTAAGGAACAGAGCACTGTACTAAAGACAAACAAAAACTCTTTTCGAGTGTCTCTGCCCTTATTTTGTAATTTTGTATTAGGTACTGATTACTGTAAACATATTAAAATAGTCTACGTATTTTGCTAATTAATTATCCATTCCTCCATCCATAACACTGTTGCTAAACAATCATTGCTTCATTCTTAGCACTATTTAGTTCTGGTAGTAAACTGTTTATGCACAGATGTTTAATTATTTTACATAGAATACCTGCTTTGTGCAATCTCAACAATACATATAAAAGTTCCTTTCCAGTCTCCTAACCTCTCCCCTGTTTGTATTGCAATGTTTAGGCATCTTCCCATGGATTCAGAAGAACACGTATTGTAAGTTATATGAATTACTTTAGCTTAAACCGTTAGTTTAATACAAAACACTACTAATAAGGCACAGAGGTAAATTATGGCAACTAAAATCAAAGTCTGAAAACTTCATTCAGAAATCCCAAATCTTCACAGCCCACATCTTGGCACTATGTTTCCACATACGGCATACTGATGTCTTCACTATTATATGAATATTCAATCATTTTCAAGGGTTTTCCCTATGTACAAAAATAAAGTTATAAGAAGAAAAAAGAAGTTATGAGATACATTAATCAAGTTTATTAAAATAAAGTATGATTTCAAAATCAAACTACTTTTGACATATTTATTTTAAATAAATATTACTCAGTACTGTTCAGGAAATTCCATTTAACACTGATCTCTTCACTATGTAAACTATTCTACAGTTACAACTACTGTAAAGAAGCAATGAAAAAAAATTGTGTTTATTAGAATTCCAAGAATCTAAAGTATTTTAATTTCTGCTTCTATATTGAAAAATATATGGAAAAAGCCATAAAACGGTTCCTATGTTTATTTATGTACCACGCACAGAGATTTACCTGCTAGCTTTTGTATTTCTATCATTATTTCTTCATGTACAATGGAAAACAATTCATCTCTCATCTTGGTCCCATCCAAATAAACTGAAAAAAAAAAGAAAAGAAAGAAATTTCAAGGACTTTCAAGGCTATTATAATTAAGTCCACAACATATTTCAGGATAAATCCAATATTAGTTTAAAATCCACCATTTAGCTTAAAATCATACACTGAGAGGCATTAAAAATGCAACAATTAAATAGATTTTCCGATAACACTGCAGTAGACAGGAAAATGTCAATCATGCTTTTCGCTTTTTTAATGCATTAGTGCATGAAGTTTCAGCAGTACCTGTTACTGAATGATCAAGTGTAGTACAAAAGGAAGAGTAACTGCATACTGAAAATGTTCTCTCCTTTGCATTCTCATTATTAAGTGATGGTAAGCAGAATTTTTGCCAATTGGTAGATTTTTTTTCTTTTTCAAGTATTTTGGCTTTTGATGTATCAGGTGTTCATCAAGGAAGACTGTATTATTTGAAGACTGTAAACATTGCCTTTCTTTTCTTGAGACCCACATGACAGCTTTATTCTTCCGGTATAAAAAATGCTATGGCAGAAGAAATCAATTAGGTTAATTTTTCTTTAAAATTTGATTATTTGACCGTTAATTTCCTTTCCTCAATCAGTCTGGGTCTTTATAACACGAGTCCCTAAAGCCACTTGTCCCTGGCAATATGTGACTGACCACTGTTTCTCAGGGGGTAATAAATCCAACATAGATGATGAGGCAACAACATTCTGGCAACAAACTAGATGTACACCAATGATGAAAGTGCTTTAATCACACAAGACTAACGGGAAAAATGAGAACAAATGTGTTAACAGGAGGTAGTTCTTTACTCAAAGGGCTGTGTATGAAGCAAGCTGCTCAGCCATGTTGTTTAAACTCCCACAGTATGCTAGCTTCCACCAAGAAATAATTGGATCAGATCCTACAAAGCAGGCTTCGAAAGGCTGAATATAACTATTCTTCTACTCTCATTAATAAACATTTTACTGTCCTCAGCATAAAGAAAACAGAAGAGCTCCATCACTGGTGAATTGTTTCTGAAAAAGCCACATTTTACCATTAACATAACAAAAACATTCTAAAACCACGAGTAACAATCTCTTATCACAGGACTAAGCATCAGCTCTTTTTTCATTTAAAAAAGTGAAACATACTCAGTGCAGAAACAGTTGCTTCCATTTCCTTTCTGTTTTTCACATACATGGGCCAGACGTGTCCATCAAAGTATCCAGGGGGATCAGGGGGTACATATACTCTAGTACTGCAAATCAAACAGCCATACACCTAAATCAGGCAATTGTATTTGGGGAAATTGTATGGCTAAGAACACACACAGAAGAATGAAACATGATACAATATGTGTATACAAATGTTATAAAAACAATACTGATGTTCTGTTTGAACAAGGACCACCCAGGAGCCATTTTAGTAACATTTTAAACTTTAAAAATAAAATACAAATGTTTGAAAATTTACTGAAAAAGAAAAAGTAGTTTCAGACTAGGGAAGGAACCAAGACAATCAAATCATATTCTTGGGTGTCAAATCGGGACACTCAGCCACTCAATGGCAAATGCACATGGAACAAAAGTACAGACTGGTTTCTAGAGTAAAAGTAATCCATAATATTTTTAACTATCTTTTAAACTGTCACTTAATGCTGGTTCATGTGATCAGCAAAGACAACCAAGACCAGCAAAAGAAGAATAAGATAAAAAGCAAAATTCACAAACCATTCTTCTGTTAAAGGTTTATTATAATGTTTACAAATCACAGGCTAGAAACCTACTGTATAGTATAGTGAATATAATTCTTGTTTTCTTGCCTGTAACAAACCTTAAACTCCATGTGGCACAAAATCATTTTCACAATTAACTATTAAAGTGGTAAGGAACATTCCTGGAAAAACAAAATATCAACCTGAACAATTTGTATTCATGCATTAATCTAAATGGAGAACTGATCTACGTTACTATTGTCAATTTCAAAATTCTCTTCTGGGGAAATGACTAAACAGAATTTACCGCAAGACCATTTGCAAAGCATCAGCAACTGTATTAAGTTTGGAAATCAAAATGCCAGAATAGTCCCTGAACCCATTATGCTATCAACATTATGCTATTTTGGAAGTCCAAAAGAAGTTTGTAGTTACACACATTTTAACAAAAGTGAAGAGGGTTTAAGTTTTAAATATGAATACAAAAGGAACCTATTACCTATTTTTATTTTCCTTTCTATTTTTAATTCCAAGTCAAATGAGTTTGGAAACTTAAAAAAATAACTATATGTGAAGAGGGCTCTGTTCTTCTCAAAAATCATGTTTTATTACTTGAAAAGCATTACACTTTACAACATTAAAAACGTTAAACCATGAATGCAGTAAAAATCTAACATCTACAGTAAATGTATTTCTTTGGATTCTCATGTTGCATTCAGGACAATATAAAGAAAAACAAGAACACAGGTATAGCTTGTGTATAAAAGTGTATAAAACGTTTAATAAAATTAACATTTTAAAATTATTTAATTCTTTGATATTTTTACAGCTATACAGTGGGTGACTACAGAAGAATCTAGATATAATGGGCAACACCTGGCTTGTGTCAATAATTCCAGCTTCAAAGCAAAGGGATGTTTGACAGAGATGGTTAAGGTTCAAAGCAATCGAACAGTAAATTTTACCTTGGTTTAATTAACCTTAATTAAGTTCTGGGTAAATGATTAAGTGTCAATGAACAGTCCAGAAAAACAGCATATAAGAGGATGGTGAAGGGGATAATGTACAAATAAAGAACAGACAAGAGACAAGAGAGGGAGGGCGAGAGCTTCACTTTGTTCCAGATCACCCAAAAAAGGCCAGATTGGAACAACAGTAAGTGTTTGAACTTTGTTAAGATTGCCCACTATGCTGCAGTTTTCAACTTTGATTTCCTGTTTAAAGAATCCCTCCACTAAAAACAGCCTCTCCTGGATTGTGGGTGCATATTTAGAATATGAAGATAGGTTCCCAATAATTTGCTGGCATTTGGGTTTACAGAGAGAGAGATTTAACCACAGGTTTTATTCAATTTAGTTTAGAAGGCAGCTTTCTCTTCTTTTGGCCTTTGTAGGCTTTATTTAAGAGCCAAATACTCGGTAACAGTCTGGCGTTTTCTGGTTGGTTACGACATAAGGTGACATGTGTTGGTATGTACATTAGTGTGTGTATTGTCACTTAATATTTGTTTAACCCAGTGTGCCTGAATTATTGCTCTTTTCATTACAGTCGTGCAAGAGAACAAAGATCTAATGTCCTTCTAACTATACCAACCTCTTGATTATTTTGTGCAGTACCCTGCCCTTTTATAAGAGAAGGTAATGCTGTTTTCCCTGTGTACATAAATTATCACAACTTTTTTATAAATGTCTAAGCCACCATATGCACAGTCATTTAAAGAAGAAAGTTAACTTACAGGAAATTAACTGCATCATATAAACTGATAAAACCCTTGGATATATTTAAGATTCCAAGGCTGAATAAAACTGCATTTACTCTTTATATTACAATAAGTACTTGTAGCCACAATTTTTTTAATTTTAGGCAAATTCTAACTTGCAATATTAGAAATTGATGCTTTAGAGCTCCAGCATGTTATTAGACAAAATGACTTGTGAAAACAGTTAATAAGACAATTAAAGGTTTCAAACAAAATCTAAAAACTGCATATCCTGTTCTTTTAAAAACCAAACAAAGGTAACAAATGTGCCTGTCTGGAACATTTTTTCTTTTAAGAGTGTGAATTTGGATTGCTTCAAGCTCGCATGATTTTTCCATATACAGTATCTATGCATATCATTGAGAAATAATGGGGAAGACCAAATCAACAACTACAAAACTTACCATCTTCGTTTTTTGCATACTTCATATGGAACTTGTAAGTAATATCTTCTATCAAATAAATCATTCAAGGGTCTGAAAAAATAATTTTGTTTTCAATTTTAAAATTGGCAGACAACATTTACAAAACAAATATCACCGTGCTCTGATAATAAAATATATAGTAAAAATATTTGTATTTTTATTTTCAGAACTGATGTGCTCATTTATGTCACTGGACTATATTTCCCTATATCTAAAAGTAATGATGATATCTATTAGTCTCCCTGAGGCTACTTGCACTTCCAGAATCTGTGAGCCCCATAACTTTTAGAACATAGGTTAAAATGTAACCTCCTGACCAATGCCTTTCCATTTTGAAAGAACAAAACTTTCACTTAAATGTTTAAAAAATAAGGACTGAATGTAAGAACTTTTAAGGAAAGAAGCTTAAACAAATCTGCCCAATAAATGCTTAGGAAGGCCAGTGCCAACAGAACAAAACCAAGGATTCTGGATTGTCTGAGGGCGTCAGTTACAGTAGGCCATGCACAACACAAGACTGTTCTGATACAGGTGGCATTGAGAAGGTCAAGAAACACCACACTAGTGTTTTGAATAAGAGCTGTGAACAAGAAAAGTATTCCCAATTCATCCTGTCACTATTGTTTTGGCTTCTGCGGACAACCTCGACAAAATTGCTTTCTTACAGCCGACAAATATCAGGAGCTTCTAGAATCAGTACTGTGTGGATGTTTTGGTTCGTACGTAATTAATGAAATTCCTGATCTTTACCGAAATCTTTGGACATTTTTGTTATTTTCGTTTCCTTACTGTTACTTGGAACCATGCTGCGTGCAGTTCTGGCATTGGGCACATGCAAGGCATGCGACTGCCATCGACCAACAGCAGTGTCGCCCAAGTACTTGACACCAGTGACAAACCAAGGGGGTAAGTGGCTTTACAAGTTCTATATAAAGTAAGCAAGCAACAGGAGCAAGACAGGGTACACCCTGAAAGTGACAGTCCACCACAGGGCAAACAGACACAAGCACAGACATGCACACTCACCCCAGGACCAATTTTCCCAGAGGACAGTTAATCTAGCAGTATGCTTTTGGACTGTGGGCAGAGTGCCCAGGGGATATCCACACAAACACAACTAACACCTCACAGATGGCAACCTAGGTCCAGAATTGAATCCAGGGCCCCAGCGCTGCATAGCAGCCATGCTAACCACTGCACCACTATGCTGCCTTAATAGAATAATAACCTCATTTAATTATGCTATTAATCATTTTTAAATTGCATAATATTATGAATATGGAATTTTATTTTTTGTATACTTTTCATACAATGCTTTGTTAGAAAGTAATGACATATAATTCTTCTAACGTGGGCATTACAAATCCCGGGGCGTTTTATGAAAAGAGTAGGGGGTGTCATCCTGGTGTCCTGGCCAAATTTCCCATTGGCCTTTAAAAATCATGGCCTCCTTATAATCCCCATCTATGAATTGGTTTCATCACTCTGTTCTCCTTCCCACTGTTAGCAATATGGCTCCTGTCGCATCATTCAGGTAGAGCTGCACATTGGTGGTGGTGGAGGAGAAAGCGCTTTGAGCAAAGTGTCCAGAACAGCACTACATAAGTGTAAGCAATTATTGTTAAGTATTATGTGGAAGGGGGGGACTATATGTCCTAGCAGAATCTAGAATTATATTAAAATCAAAGCACTGTTTTCTATCAGTGGCAGCACTGACGTCTATTTGGAAAGCTATAAATCAATTAAGCACCACTTAGTTGAACCCTGGTTAATGAGGAAAAAAGTCGCCATCCGATGCTGCAGCACCAACAAATTCTAACTTTGATGTTTACAGTAACTGACACTTCATGTAATTTTTGATGGTAAGAATTAAGTAAGCATTTATCTTTTACAATATCGACATCTACAGTAGTACACAGTTGAAGAATGTAGAGAAACTGCCTTATTATTGTGTATGGACAGACATTATAGACATTTATAGTTTAAAAAAATGGTCTTTAAGAGCAATCCACATACCTGCAGTTACTGATTATAAAACAGTATGGAGTATTTATCATGCTTATTATTGCCAAATTAGAAGATGTCACAGAGATTTGCAGGGATCTGGGGGCCCCATAAATTGTGCATTACTTTGTACACGCAGTGGATTTTCATTTTAATATTTTGAGTATTTTTTAATCTCTGAAAATCTATAACGGACATAAAAACTGTTTTGTACAACACGTGAGGCTAAAAAAGAATTTTACTCCTGTTAGGTACTTACTTGTAGTTAAAGAGTAGAAAGCCCTCTATTATGAGTATGTACACATCATCTCGCACTTCAGTTGAATCTTTAAAGTTTGGAGGATTTTTTAATTCATGAATTTTTAAAAATGACCTTGGGTCCTTTCTCCAGGATTCAATGTCAAGCATCATACTATCCATGTCAAGGGCATCAATAACTAAAATCACAAACCAAGACATAAGTGAGTTTTTTATGCCATATAGATGCATAACAAGCTTGAGTCTATACTCTCAAATTAAATATTATGATGAAACCTTTGTGTAAATTCACTAAAAGCCCCAACATTCCCTGTGTTACAACAGTTTTTTTTCAAAAGCCACTTACAGTATTTGTAACTTTATTGTACACCCTGTAGCATAAGAAACTGAACTTCCATCATCTAAATGAAAGTTTAACAATGTATTTTGCAGTGTAAAGCAAGCACTGTGTGATATTTTTGCTGCAATTATTTTCAGACAGAGTAAAAAGTTAATTTGGCAAAACTAATATGCAAACCCATAGGTTTCACTGATATATGTAAGGTAAGTGGTCAGCAGTGTAGCCAAATAAACTATAAGGGTTTAGACCTCTGCATTTTTCAGTGTTGTGTTGTAGTTGCATATGTCAATACCAAGGGAAAATTATTAAAATATTCAAATTATCCAGTTCCATTTTACAAGATAACAATGCTCAGGCTTTTTTACACACAACTTTAATCACCTTCCCCAAAGGAGGAATAGTCACACTTTATTTTGAGCATGCATGTCACTGGACAGCATTTTTTTTTAAAAAGTGTCACTGGACTCCTCAGGTACAGCTGTAAAAGTGTTACCCTGAAGAATCAAATGTTACTTCCCTGCTAAAAACACTGGGCCAGCACATTAATAATGCCACACCATTATCAGTCAATTCAATTTTACAGAACGTACACAGAATCTTAAGAAAGTGTCAGGTGAAGACAAGATGGCGATTTCTCGATTCCTATATTCCTCAGAAAGCACTGGGAAGTGACATACCATCTTCAGTCACCTGACCAAATGATGGAAACAATTAGTTATGTGACAGATTGAACAAGTATTTGGAGGCATGGATCCTGGCTGCTGTTGCTTCTGAGGGAGAAATGAGCAAGGAAGCAGCCAATCAAAAGACCCACTGTATGAAGTGCGAGTCCTGGAGAGAAACCTTGTTTTTTTTTTTAAACAAGGGTTTTTTGGTAGTTTACCTGCCCAACTTTATTTTTATGTAGGGAACTTTGAAAGTTTGGTAGAGGTTTAACAGAGCTAGGGTTTTGTATTTTGAGTTTATTTCCTCGCACCATAAATGAAGATAGCTATTTTAACCTTGTGTCTCTTTTACCGAGACCTGCCTATTCAAAGGTCATGTTGTGGCTTCCTGCCTTTGGGTACATGTATGATTCTATGATATTGTAATCTGTTAGTATCACCAAATGTCACCGAAGGTATGCCTATAAATAAATCAATTATTTTAAAATAGTTTTTACCCTTAGATGTAAAACAATTCCCCCATTAAATGGAACACCATGAGATTTTAATACTATTTCCAGAGTATTTGTTTTACCATCATACTGTTTGAAACCACTGCTGTCCACTGCTACCAGAGATTCATCCTGTAAAATAAATAAGTGAATAAATAATTATGCAAGCTACACAACAGACATATGTGTATGTGTCTAAGAAGCAGCAAGAGAAAGCCACACCCTTTGTTAATCCAAGGCTTTATTCACTTCTCAACTGCAAAGCTTTTCAAAGTCAAATGTGACTTTTCTTTTAAAAAGAATCTCAATTACAATTACACAAAAATTACACAAAAAAGTTAGGTGAGCTCAACGGGACACAGATTTCATGTAGTCTTTACTTCAAAGATATACAGTATGTAACCACACATTTACTTTTATATTTAAAGTGAATGTCTCTAAATATTGCCGATGACACTGGATTGAACACAAAATCTGTTCTTCTTTTAATATGACCAAATGTATACACAGAATAACCCAAAAATAAAATAACACTGCACTTATCATATTAATCCCATGATCTCAAATACAATTTGCTTGACTGTAAAGCAAAAGTAAGTTTTGGGTCACTCTCCTAAAACCATTGGAGGGCAAGTTACATGTTGATTGTGCTTTGGGATGCAAAGAAAAATGTTAAGAGCTTTACACCTGGTTTTCAGCAAAGAAGACCCATTTGTTTCCTTCATAATGCATATCTTTCTATGCACATTCTTTTCTAGACAGTTCATACACATCACTATTAATAAAATATTTACTACAATGAAAAGAACTGAATCAATTTGAATCTTACCTTGAAATATTTATCCTGCGATATGATGAAAGTGTTGGGAATATGTTCATAAACTTTGTTTGCCAATGTTGTTTTTCCACCATTTGTGACTCTGTGATACAGAAAGAAGAGAATCTGTAAACCTTCCAATCAGTAAGAAAAGTACAGTAAGAACATATGGAAGGCTGTGTCCAGAAATACATACATTACAAACTGTCAAAATATATAGTACTGTGGTACTGTGGTACTGGAGCCCATCTGCAGGGCTCTAGTGCAAAGAAGCAGACTGCACATACTGTGTTGGTTATTTGAAAATATAAATTGACAATAAATTATGTGATGATAAACAAAGGAAATAACATCTGCTTATACTTACCCCCCAATTCCAATAATTATTTGTCTCATGATTTTTGGTTGAAAATATCCTGCAAATGAAATTTGACCATTTTAAAAACTTTTGTAACTTAAAACAGACAGTTGTTTCTGCATCGGGACTAACCAACTTCATTACTGAGTCTCTGTAACCGGTTCCTGTCAGTACCTTTATCGAGAGAGCCACTTGTGAAGTCCCTCCTGGACTTTATCCCTCTGCTTCACTAAATAAGTCCCAGAAATGTGTTTGTGTTCCCACTGACTTAAACCTGTTGTTTTCACACCCAAGCTAAAATGAACTGGCCCTTTCTCACAAAACCCCCTAACAGACAGTGTTTCTCAGTTACAATACCATCTCTCTATCAGCTCTTTAATCTTCTTCAGCCAGGGTTCAGACTGACACAATAACAAAACTGTTCTGAGTAAGGTAAAGATTTGCTCATGTTTTTCTGAGTCTGAGTAAGTTCATATTCTGGTGCTTCTGGAATAAAGGGTCGAATTGCCAGATACTGTCAATAACAACAACCTACTGGATTGCATGGAAAAGATCACAGGTACTGTATATTGCTTTACTGGTTTGGCTCCAGTTTGGTAATGAGGTCAATTTGTTAATCTGATATTGTCCTGTTTTCAAGGAGTCCCACAAGGTCCTGTGCTGGGACCTTTGATACTCATATGGTGTGATAATAATAATTAATAATAATTTCTTATACTTATATAGCGCTTTTTTGGACACTCTACAGATAATGGGGACTCCCCTCCACCACCACCAATGTGCAGCCCCACCTGGATGATGTGACGGCAGCCATAGTGCGCCAGAACGCTCACCACACATCAGCTATCAGTGGGGAGGAGGGCAGAGTAATGAAGCCATTTCATAGATGGGGATTATTAGGAGCTCCTGTATTAACTAAAAGAACTCTATGACAGCACAAAGTTTTTGTTCTCTCTAAATTGCTTTGGCTCCCTTTGAATTTGAGTGACCTTTAAGGTTCTCATATCTACGTTTAAAGCACCGAACAATTAACTTTAATCTAAGGATTTACTGCGTAAGCATATTTCTTTCTTTGCTATTGCCATAGTTTTGAAGTTGAATTTTTCGAAAAGCGTCCATACTTTAAAATACATTACCAAACCACCAATGTTTACCACAGTAGGTCAAACCCTACTGATTTTGAAGAAAATCTGAATGCATTTTTCTCGCCTAATTTTAATATTAAACAACGTTTTAAAATGAAAAGGTGAAGAATACAAAGGCAGCTACCTTTTTCCGTCCCTTTCAATGCGTTATTTCAGTATGCCATACAGAATCCTCAAAGGTCTTCAGCAGGTAAGTTGTAGACAAAAGTACCACAAAATCGAAATTTAATTAGTGTTCCTTCTACACGTAGTAACCTTTCGTGAAGTTGCTCATCACTCTCTTCTCAATATAATCAGTCGCCCGTTAAACAGGCTCCATTTTGGTGCAACATTTCTGTAGAAATACAGAAAAGTTGAGAGAGAGTGCACAAGAGTGTCTGTCTTTAACAATGTGCCAGTATTGTACATGACCCATGTAGTCACTAATACCCACTAGTAATTTGTCTAAAATGTATTACATAGAACCTGGACACACGTGTGCATTTCCAGCTGCTGTTTCTGTTTTCTTCTCAGCATGCAGCACCAAGAATGATTTGAGCCTTAATGGCTAGTTCAAGGGAACAGTTTCGCGGATGTGAGCAGTTTCCTACCATCATGCGCAGCTCATCTCTTCCGCATCAAGGGTGCGCTTCGCCGTTGGGAGTCCTACTTCCTCATTGGTTTCTCTAGTTAGTTTATCCCATTGAATTTCTCAAATAGAAAAGAAAATATCTACTCGTTTCTCTCTCTTTTGACGATTTTATTTTAAGACTCGAAATGTCAAAGCCTCCACCTAAACCTGCGAAGCCAGGTAAGTGTTAAATAAGTATGATATTGTTGTGGTCTTTCCTCTCAGCTGTCCAATACAGAAACAGGAGTGTTTCACGTAGCTGCCACCAGGTCTGAAAGTTCCTGTTGCTCGTTACCCGTGCTGTACACGAGAGGGGCTACTTTGAAACGACGTTTGCTGCTGCAGACATCAAAATGAGATTTATTACGCTAATTTTGCCATTACAAACCTGCACAGATCGAATGTATTTATGTAATGGTTTACTTTAAGTGTTTAGGCTTCCCCGTTTCCTCATGACTATCTGGCCGTGCTGCTGTGAGCTGCACAATCATGTTCTGTGTTTGGGTGGGTGGGGTACAGTGAACGAGCCGTAGCCAGGATTTATAATTAATATCGTTAATCTAGTTTGAGAAAACTGAAGGATCCAAAGCTGCGAAGTACTAAAAACCAGTGATTTGACGTGCCGTCGCGCCGTTTGACATTTGCGTACATTCAAATATTGGCCGCGAATAAAAGTGTACAAATGCATTTCCTTGCTGTTCGTGTTTCTGTTTTCTTCACCCTAGTCCATATTCAATATTGAATCGGAATTCATTTATTTCATAAGGTATTTAAATAATGAGATTTGACAAAGATGGTTCTAGCAACGTTTTCTCACATGTAGTGTATCTGATGAACTGCGTCGTGTCTTTTTTCTTCTCTGACTGAGGTTAAAAGCAGGAAGGCGTCTGGCAAAGGCGTAAATAAAAACCACTGAATGAACAACATTTCGTATTGTATTATTTCTGTTTTTATGGTCGTGATGGTCAGATTAATCTAATTTTGAATACTTCATCATTTGTCCATACACATTAATATACTGGTAACAAATGTGCCGGTTTAGTTTGCAGTGGGTGAAGACTGCTCTGGGTTCCTTCTAATCTGTCACCGCTTTCTAAAACAGTATTTAAGATTTCAAGATGTGTCTCTACAGGTCATAAAATATATGTGTGTAAGTTATACATAGAAGTTTTCAGTCTCCCTCATCGCTTAGCAATTATATCTGCTTGTTAGTTTCTTTTTTGCACCATTATTTCAACTTCCCCCAGCTCTTAAGGTGCTGCTGCTTTAGAAAACTTGCAGAAAAACCAACCCTCTAGGACTGGGACTGGACTGCCCTGCTCTTAAGCAGTGTGCCAGTAGTTGTACCGTAATGCACAGTTATTTTTAAAATGCCACAGTAATGTCTCAAAAGGCATACTGTTTGCTCAGGATATCCACGTTTCCATACTTCCTTTTTTTCTTCTTAGTGGTGTGATGTGAGAAGAAATACTTAATCTAAGCATGCATACCTTCAGGGATGCAGCACAATACAAGTCAGTGCTTGCTGGATTACCTAGGCTCAGAATCATTCAGTGATTGAGTCCAACCTTAAAATTCTTCTTCAGGTTTATGACTACACAAAGAAACCAGTTTTACTTCTCCCATGCCCCTGTTGTGATGCACAGGCTATTCTATGTGATGGAAACTTTAACACAGGAAGGAGCTTCCTGTAAATATCTTGAAATACCTTTCCAACACAGTAAATATTAAATATATATTGTTTCTGGGTATGTGATCTATATATGTGCTTGCTATTGCTCTCCATGGCTTTGCTAGCGCTTCTCTTTAATGGGCTATATTAAATCTGTAAGCAAGGTTTTATGATTGGATTTCATTGCATTATCAATGACAGGAATCTCTGTTTTAACTGCCTTGTGAGTGTTTTTCTATCTGATCATGATCAAACTGTTGCATAATGCACCAAAATCACTGCAAGACATGTAAAGAGTAACCCTTTTGTGTCTGCTTTGCTGACTCTACTCTGTGTAGCTCTTTTGCTGGAAATGGGAAGTGAAAATTTCAGAACCTTCCCCGATTTCCTAATTCAGCATATCTGCAGATAAAAAGAAATCTGTATAAAGAAAATGGACTGCTGCTTTATAATCATCCTAAAATATGATTATATGATAATCCTAAAATTATGGAGAGCAAGCTGGGGTATGCGAAAAGACAAATTCCTAATGCAAGAAATTGTAAAGGGTTAATAAAGTGATGTTGTTATTATTATTAATATTATTATTATTATTATTAATAATAATAATAATAATAATAATATATTTTTTGTAAAGTTCTTAATGCATAATGTGTTTAGTGGGATGAAATATCTGATTTTATCCATGTGTATGTAAGTTTTGATTAAAGCTGGTAGAATTAATCAATGTTATGAAATGTAAAAAAGAGCATATCACTGCATGTAGAGCTTTAAAATGTTGTTCATTGTCACCAACTCATGATTAAAATAGTGATTTATACCAATTTATGCCTGCAGGAACGTAAACGATTTAGTTATAATATGTGGAGAGTTATCAATTCACATTTGACACTAGCGAGGATGCTTTGTGCCCAGAAAAACTTTTCCTGCTTAAAATCATGTATAAAAATATTGGTGCATCATGTTAGATATAGTATCAAATGATACAAAACATGTATAGATGAAGAGATTTCTGCAGTACTTAATTTTTAAAAAGATGCAGTTAAGAATCATAGAGTGTTATAGTATTTGAAATAAAACGTTAAGACACTAATGCCTGCCAAATAACTACAAGCAAAGACATGTGGAGGCAATACAATTTTGTTTTATTTTTTCAATTTAGATTTAGGCTATACATTTTCTCAGTACGAAATAAAAAATAATGCATGCTAAATATAATTTGTATAATTGTATTTTTGATTTCTCATAAGCACACAAATTATATTGTGACCTACCTTGCATCAAGTTTTAACCTGACTTTAAAAGGTTGGTTTGTTGGAATTAAATGTCATTGAACTTAAACATTTAACTAAGCTTCTGTTTAATTACTCAGTATTATATGCTAAATACATTTTAGACCTGCACAGTGTGCTCTTTTGTAACAGATTGAGTTCATTGTGTTTTGTTTCACTTGATTAAAAAAATAAATGACTTAAGTGTTTCAAACATGTTTGTGTAAGAGATGTCATCCACTTCTGCATTTGACAAAACTGATACTGTAAAAGGTATTATTGTAAAAGGAGGTAAATACCTCTCTTTATTTCCAAGATTTGTCAGAATCTCCAGGATTCAGACAATATTATTTACAAATCCATCAAAATCAGCAGATGAATGCTTTATTGTGCACCAAGGAGGATCAGTTATCATTACATTCTCTAAAAATATTTTTCTTGTTATTGTTATTGATGAAAACAACTAGAAAATAAGTAACTAGTAAGAAGCTGCAAATCAACATTTTGCCTGGTTTGGTTTAAGGACAAGTCAAACGCCAAATGGTCACCTTTGATGTTTTTTTAAAAGCATCAGCTTACACCTATGCTTTTAAAATGAATCACAGTATGTGGGCATTTCAATCATCAACACTTTCACTATTTACAGTGCAGGAAAAATGTTTTCAAAGCATAGTTGCAGTCCTAAGTGAAAAATACACTACAACATTTTAATCTGTTTCCGGACTAATTGAATGGAAAACATCTCCAGAATACTACAAGCTAGTTTGAACCATACAGAAAAGATCCTTCAAGTAGGGAGCTGCGTCAGCATGCATAGGCTGCAAAGGAACAAGTAAAGGTTAATTCTATACAGAATAAAACAGTTTCGGCTGTCAAAATGTTGAGTTTCTTTTCTTCTCTTTTCAACATGGAATAAACTTCATACAGAAAGATGTCGTGTAGGAATGTTTAAAATATTCAAAGCAGTTATTAAAGTAAAACATTACAATGTCTAAAGTGAACCCGTAGTGCTTAAACAATGAAATTGTTTTATGTTACTGTGTGTATAGTACTTAATTGAACCATGTATTTGTTTGGAAATAAATCTGTTTTAATTAGTTCTTAAATTTGCTTTCAGTCTTTAAGTCTTAACTGCAGTTTACTTTGTTCGTTTTTTGGGCTGGACTGCCATCAACATTTTCTCTCATTTGGTTAAAGACAAGTCAGATGTCATACAGTCAGCTTGGTTGGTTAGAGTAACATGTACGCCACTATATTTATAAAATGTAGGAGTTTAATTGTGCTTGATACATCACTTTTCTTCTACATAGTAAATGATTAGGTGTACTTTCTCTTTATTCCTTTAATGGAAAATATTTCTAACAGTGTAAGAAGAGCATGTTGGAAACAAAGGTTCCTCAGTTTCATTATTACTTTTTTTTGGCATTTTAAGGTTAAGATTTCTGGTTGTACAAAAATATTAAACAGACCGGTATTTTTCAAGGGAAGTGGAAAAAATAGTATTTTGTAACTCTCTCCCTCTTCGATGTAGGTTTATAGATCCCTATAACAGAAAAGGGCTGGACTTTTAACACATGAAAAGTGTCAATAGCAGTAGAAAAGAATGAATTTTAAGATGTTTTGAAATAGAAATTTGACAATGTATGTTTTCTATGATGGAGCTCAGTATTTATTTTGAGAAAACACTTGTATGAACTGTATCTCCCCAAATACTGGGTCTTTCTATTCTGAATAATATTTACAGTAAAACAAATCCATCAAAAGTTCATTCATGCTGCAGTTTGCGCTTTGTGTAAACTCCATTGTTGTGGAGACCTTAGAGAACCTCCTCACAACTGTATATAGAAAGTTTTGTTTAAAGTGCTAGCTCTGCCAGAGAATGAAAATGAGGTTGATGTTCAGTAGTAAGTTGTGGTTTTCAGAGTACAGATGAAAAGGGTTATTTCCACAAGAGCTCATCACTGAGGCGACGATGGTTTAAAATAAAACTTCTTACTACTGCAAGATTCTTTCCCTCATGGTATCTGAAATATGGAAGAGTAATATGTAAACGCAAAATGTCATTGGGATTACAATTTATATTTGATGTGAGGTATAAGAGAATTCTGGAAATATGTATGGATAGCAGAGGGTATATTTAAGGTAAGCACACAGTGCGCGACTGAGTCTTTTTTTAAACTCTTAATTTTATTGGCAGGGTTAATCATCATATTTGCTTGCTGTGGGTGTCTTTTTTTTTGTATTGTGTGATATTAATGTGCTATAAAAGAAACCACTCTATGAGTGTTTGAAATTATGGTACCTCTAAAATGATGAACAGCATGCCTATATAAAAACTCTTACGAAATGTAAGTATGATTTCTACTCATGGACCAATGCAAATAGTAACAGACAAATATGTTTTCACTAACAGACAAAGAGCTCTCTTTGGACTACTGGAACCCATATATTTCATCCTTTTTCTGACCATAATTAAAGCTTTCATTTTGTACAATGTTCACGCGTGAGATATAAAATGCAGAGGCACAGTGTCATGGCTTTTAACACTGCTCCCTCACAGCTCTTGAATACTGGGTTTGATTCTGGACCAGGGCACCTTCTGTGTGGAGGTTGCATGTTGTTCCTGTGGCAGTGTGGGTCTGTGCCAGCTAGTCCAGTTTCCTTCCCACAGTCCAAAGACATGCTGTGTAGGTGACTTGACATCTGTAAATTGTCCCACTTGTGTGCGTCTGCCCTAGTATGGGCTGGAATTCTGTTCCAGGGTATATTATGTCATGACCCCAGTGTCTGCCAGGCAAGGCTCTGGCTCAGCACGATCATGTATTGGACTATGTATTTTTGTAAAAGGAATGGATGGAAGATAATGTTTATTCCTACTTTTCAGGACAGGTGAAAGTCTTCAGAGCTCTGTTCACATTTGATCCAAGAACTGTAAGTATATGGCACACCTTTTTTTGTTTTAAGAAGTTCAAACTGGATTAAATGAAAAATGTCTGAAGTATTTTAATGATGAAAGAGCATTTTTATCTTGTTATTAGGGCATGAATTTAATTAAATCAATTTGGCCTGTCAGTTGCAGATTTACAAACCAATAGAGAACTGGACTTGTTTCCCTCAGTACGTTTCAGCACAGTGGAAAAGATATTACTGTTCTCATTTAGTATATGGGTGAGTGTTTCAATCTAATCTGGGCCTTAATCACAGAACAACAAAGAAAAAAAAAACATGTGTTCTTAAGGTAGTGCCCTGTGCCCTGTGTCTTAATTTATAAAACCTTCAGTAACCATGCAGATGTTGCAGACTAATGACTTTTGTTGCCCTTAATCTAATTAATGAGACAACAGAATTCTCTGTTTAGGTAGAGGAGTAATATAATATCTATTACTAGTTTCTTATTTACTAATTACATATTACTTATTACATTGCCTGTCAGTAGTTTGCTCAGGAGGAGTAAAGTCTTCTGATGGAGAGTTTACAATCCCTGAATAGATACTGAATAGTAGGTGATGGGATCTTCCCTTAAGCAAGTCTGGTTTCCTTCTTAGTTACAGGCATTTATGGTAGAGCTCCCTCCCTCTCCTCTCTCTGTGTGTGCACCTGTTTACTAAAGTACACTGGGTGAGGTTTGATTTAAAAGCAGTATGATGTTTACTGTTTGAGGATCCAAAGCAGTGTTTGTTGCCAAACACTGTACTCTGCAGGCTATTTCACCTCAACCATTTTAGGATATAAGTCTGATTGTTTTCCTCTTTTTACAAAATTAAAGCAATTGACACTGGCAGGGAGAGTGAAACACTTTAGATGTATGATACACAGACCTCAACGGCGATAAGCGCTTCTTATCCTGGAGCGGTGTGCCGGTGTGTAGCCGTCTGGGAAGGCGTCTGTTCTCTGGTATATGAGAAAATCTAATACGAACGAGAAGAATAATCCTAATTCTAAGGGCAAACCCAGTCTGCGGACGCGTGGGGATCTTAAATAGTGGGCCCGATTAGCCTCCGGTGTGGAAGCTGCACAGTAGAGAGTGCAGTGGAAGGGGTGCTCCACTGTCACTCTTCAACTTAAACTTAATAAAGTGGATGTCAGATGGACATTAACAATAAGCTGAGAAAAGTATCACAAAATATCACAAAGCTTGACATTTGTCCGATATGTACTGCTTAGACAAAACCATTATAATCTCCAGTCACACACCAAGTTCTCTAAAGTGGATAGGAACTTAAAAATGGAAAATACACGCACTTTGGCTATACTCTAATGTAGCACATGCTTATTATAAGGTATTTTTCCTCACAAGGAAAAATAAGAGGTAGTATCTTACAATCCTAATTTATATCAGTATACAGACATCAGTCAACTAAGGAAATACCTCATATTTAACAAAATCTGTGCTACCTCAGATTTAATTCTAAATCTGTCTTAATATAGTCAAGGAAAAAGGGGCATATAACGGTTTATAACTCTGTATAACAGTGTGCCTCCTGTTCTCAGTTTCAAATGCACTACCATCCTTTCATAATAACTTTCATGTGCTGATAATGGATAAGCTGTGAGTTAACGAAAAATAAGTGGAACAGGGTTATCACAAAAGTACATTTACTGGATTTATTGAAATAAATTTAGTAATTGCACTGTTATATTATGAAACTTAAAAAAATATAGAACAGATTTTGCCCTTCAGTTTTTACCTGCATATTACATATACGCAGCTATATGTATGGTTTATTTTTAACAATTAGTTCTTTTGTATTTCTCAGGAAATAACATTTGTAAAGACTAATTTCCATGTCTGCAAAAAAACTGCTTCTGTCTGCTAATTTCAGGAAACAAATAATAGTATTCACATATCCAAATCTATTGTTTCCCACTATTATATATGAGGCAGATGGGCCATCTAGCCAATAATCAGCCACTTGTCTAGACTAAATAAGGAATATGGACAAAATGTACAAAAGAGTCCATATTGAAATATTGTTTCATACTAATACACTGCAAGATCATTTGCCAGCCAGCAGCAGCGATGGTATATAACATACAGCTCTCAAGTCTCACCCATCGGGAGCAAATCTCACAGTCTCGCACCCTGGTCTGAAAATCTCTCACATTTCTATCAAGTCTAGGTTGATTAAAAACTGAAGTAATGAATGCAGAATTTTGAAGTTGCTGAAAATACTTCAATTCCATGAATTTACCAGTGTGTTATTTTGCAGGTGAATAAAATAAACCGTCAATACAAAGAGTATGCAATTGCAATTTTCAGCATAAGAACTCATACATTAGGATTTGGTCCTTTGATAGCTATGTTAGTAATCGATAACATAGAAATTAACGTAATTGAAGAAAATAATCAATACGCAGGGTTTCCTTGCACCTGAATCAACAGGTCACGGACCAGTACTGTGTCCCTTAATTGCTTGGAACGTTAGTCAAAAACATCATTTCTAAAGAATAATGAAGAACTAAATAATGCCACTTAATTTTCAAAATGAAATAGAAATTATTGCCTCAATGAGCATGAAATAATAAACAGTGTCTCTAGCAAAGGGAACACAATGATGGTTTGAGGCATACAGAAAACAGCAAATGGCTATGTATTTCAAGCACAAGGCTGTAGCCAACGGGGTAGCCAACATTTCTGACCAGTCCTATGTAATCCAATATAATTGATTATTGAATCCTGAATAAACAGTTCTTGGGGTCAAATAAAATCTGTTCAGGATAATATTGTTTATTTCCAATAATAACATTAGCTATTAGCTATAGTACAACTAACTGTTGGGGGGGTTTGGCCTGTGGGAAACCCTGAAATCTGAAAAAACCTAGGATGACATGATTAAAATAAGGATATTCAGAGAATATCTGCTAAGTCAAGCTAACTCTTTCTACTGCATCAGTGTTCCAAAAGCATCTTCCTTTTAAACTGTAAATTCTGAGAAATTTAAACGCACTATTGAGCTCTGTTGCGTGATGGAAATAGTTCAGTTTTAGTTATCCGTCAAAGATTAGAATTAGTGACTGTCAGGGACAGTGTGAATGTCTTGGGTGTATGGGATTATATGAAAATAATGTAATCTTTTGTGTTTTCATTTCCAGCCAGATGAGCTCTATTTTGAAGAAGGAGATATTTTGTACATTTCAGACACGGTGAGCTCTGTTCCTCCTCTGTTCAGTGTGATAATGAAACATTGTCTGAGCTACCATGCAACATAAATACTGTACTTACTAAGTTTTTTTTTTAATCCTCAGAGTGATACTAACTGGTGGAAGGGGACCTGCAGGGGCAGGACGGGGCTGATTCCCAGCAACTATGGTAAGTACTGTGGGCATTAGAGTCTGCGGTACAAAGGACATGAACCGCTCCAGATCTGTCACAAGAAAGACATATTTTACGCAATTCTATGCTAGCTAATCCTGATTGTTTTGCCTGTATCTTCCATGATAAATAATATCTACAATTTCCTTTGTAGTTGCTGAGCAGGCAGAATCAATAGACAATCCAATGCACGAGGCTGCTAAAAGAGGTGGGGAAGATAACAAATTGCCTTTTTTTAAAAAATAATTCTGACTAGTGAATCTTTAATCACAGAATGTAGTTTTGTGTTACTGTGCAGAACATAGTTTGGTACCCCGTAAGAAGAAGAGAGATTTGACAAATTGTTAAATATGTTTTGCTACTGTGATTTTTTGCTTTTAATGCAATTTTATTTGAGACAAGATTGTCAGGTGTGTAGTTCTTTGTTATGTAGGTTTTTAGACTATTGTTGTGCTGGTTGTTTCATATGAGCTGTCTGAACTGAAACATAAATCATTATAAGCACACACGATGAAGCTGACATTGTCATGTATGAAAAGACATGTTTATTAAATGTACTTGTATTGCAGGCAACTTGAGCTGGCTACGAGAATGTCTGGATAACAAAGTTGGTATAAATGGTCTTGACAAAGCTGGCAATACTGCCCTCTACTGGGGATGTCATGGAGGACACAAAGGTATTTTGGGAATAATTACTATTCAGTTGCTGTAAACAATGCAATTTAATGTAATAAAATATGCTTATCTTCTTAAAAACCTAATTAAAGGGTGTTTCTTAGAGCAGTTTGTAGTTTGTGTTGTTTCTTTGCTATCCAGTTTTTACCAAGAGCCCTGGATCTAATTTTAAAACCTAATCTGTATGAACTTTTTTCTGTTTGCAGTCTATTTCTAAGCTTTCTGTTTCATTACTGGAAAAAAAAAGGTTTGCCTTCTTACAGTGCATGTACTTTGTCCATTGTTACTTTTGTTGCATGTGGACACATTCATTGTTTTGTACATTTTGTGTAGCATTACATGTCTAGCTGTTCTAACATGTAGATGGGTTGTGGTTCAAACTGTTAGCTACAAAGACTGTTTTAATGCTCATGTACAAAGTTCAGTAACATTCATAATTTTCACCTGTGCCAAAGATGTTTAATAATCTTAGCACAATGTCTGCATTTGTCTGAGTTTGTGCTATACTGGAAAGACTTCTCCTGTTTTTGAGTCTTCTGTAAAGTTTCAGAAAGTTTATTTTCAGGGTTAGTATTGCTTTTCTTTATAGTGAGTCTTATTATTTTGTATATGAAGGGGAATTCTTTTTAAAACTAAAAAATATGCCTGGGGTAGAAATAACTGCTGTACACCAGCTCACTGTTGTCTTCTGCACATTATTTATAACAGTGGTCAGCTGTTACTGACTTTGCCTGATTGACCTCTCTTCTAAAGCAGAAGTCGTAGACTGTTAAAGGTTGTGTGTTAAAATTCACCAAAATGATGTGTTCAAAACAACAGCTTGTTGCACAACTAAAACAACACATCAGAATATGATTTAGTGCAGTCATATTACTTCCAAACATCATTATTTTATTCTTATATGTTGTAATATAAATTTAAAGCTTTGTACCTTTGCTTTAACAGATGTTGTGGAGCTCTTGCTTGCACAGCCTAATGTGGAACTTAACCAGCAGGTAAAAAATTAAAGCTAACCGTTTTTAAGTCAAAAGCATGTTTGTATTTGTTTTTTAAAATACAAATACAATACTTAAATACATGATCGATTTTTCTTTCTAACAGAATAAACTTGGAGACACCTCTCTGCACGCCGCAGCTTGGAAGGGATACTCAGACATTGTGGAGATGCTGCTGAACAGAAGTAATAATTGCTTTAAAATATAGAAATATATAAAGTCCACATTGATTGTGTCCTACAATGATTTGTAGTTGCAGAAAGAGTACAACGTAATTTTTCAAATTTCTGTAATGTTCATTAAAAATGTTTCTCGTGTTTCTATGATAACCTTCATATGAACAATTATTGGTTTCTTCAGACTTTACTGCAAAAATAGATTTATTTCACCATTCCTTGCTTTATAGAGTTTTTTTATGTGGAAGGACAGATCAAATGCAAATGGAAAGACAACTGCTATAATATCTATCCACAGTTAAATGTAACAGTCCTTAAATGTACGTGCTAAATATAAATAGTTCAATTTGAAAATACTAATATTGTAGATTACAGCCGACATCAATCTTAAATATAAAAACCCTTATTGATGCATTATGAGTTACTGTCTGCATTGAAAATGTTACCGGTATGTCCTTTATTTTAGATGCAAGAACGGATATTTTAAACAATGAGAAGAAACTGGCCTTGGATATGGCAACAAATGCACAGTGTGCATCACTGCTGAAAAAGAAACAAGTAACCAGTAAGTGCAGTGTTTTAAACATCTAACTGACATTTGTTTCATGTAAGATATGGATTTTGAACTTCTTTATTTTACACTGAAATGTCCTTTTATTAAGAGCTGTATCTCTGCTTTTGATGGATCCCAGAATGTCATGCCATTTGCCAAACTGCTTTATATCATACGGTGTTGCGGGAAGCCAGAGCCTACCCGTCAAGCAACGAGCACAAGGCAGGGTACAACTTGGACAGACGCCAGTCCATCGCAGGGCAAGAGTCCCCAGTCATACATGGGGACAATTTGGAGGCCACGGTAAAGGCCAAGGGGGGAAATTTGGCCGGGATAACTCCCTACTCTTATTGAGAAATGCCCAGAGATCTTTAATGACCACAGAGAGTCAAGACCTCGGTTTAACGTCTTATGCGAAAGACAAAGCCCACTACAGTATAGTGTCCCCACCACTATACCAGGGCATTAGGAACCACACAGACCCCAGGATGCGAATCCCCCGCTGGTCCGACTAACACCACTTCCAGCAGCAACCATAGATTCCCAGGAGGCCTCCCATCCAGGTACCGACCAGGCTCAACCCTGCTGAGCTTCAGTGGGTAGCCAGCTGAGAGCTGCAGGGTGATATGGCTGCTGGCTCAAATCCCAGAATGCTTTTGTGCAATTGAATGTTCTTGCTTGGTGTCATTAAACTAACTTGGTATGTAGTGCATCATTTTAGAGACATGAAGGTGGGTTTACATTTAGAAGTACAGCCTCACATAATTATACTTAACAGAATTCTAGAACGTGCAACTCTGTTGTGTTTAGAAATATGATACAGATTTAAAACAATCTGAAGTCAAGTGGCTTATTAACTTTAAAGTAAATGTTTGTAAACAGTGTTTTATTAATGCCTTTCTTATTCCACTTAAAAATAATTGAAATGTCATAAAATGGTGAGGTAACCATTTCACTGGAGCGGAGTGGTGGCTCTGTGGCTGGAAGGTTGCCGGTTCAAATCCCGCAGCCGGCAGAGAAATCCTACTCCATTGGGCTCCTGAGCAAGGCCCTTAACCCCAACTACTCCAGGGGCGCCATACAATGGCTGACCCCACGCTCTGACCCCAGGCTCTCTCCCTGTCCGTTTGTCTGTGTGTCTCATGGAGAGCAAGCTGGGGTATGCGAATTCCTAAGGCAAAAAATTGTAAAGGGTTAATAAAGTTATGTTAAAGAATATAATACAGTTCTTTGCTTCAGTGACTCACCACCAGATGGTGGTCTTGTGCACTGTTTCAGTTCTTTAATGTTCATTTAAAATGCCAAGACTTTTCTGTGAAAAGAAAAATGTATTTGAAATAAATTCTAAAAAATAAAAATGTTTTTTTCTTATTGTTCTTTGTAGAATTTTGCAAATCAAAAATAATTCTTATATATAGAACACCCTTGTTTCACGTCATATTGCTAATATGTATGTCTGAGAAGTACATATTTCCCCAAGTGCAGACAAAGCTTTTCAAATATTTGATACCTTCAGGTCATACCATAGAATACTCTTTATATTTCTAAAAGAATGGCATGAGTAATACCATTATCCATAATACCAAATGTTTTTTTTTTAATTATGTTGTTCAAAAGTTAATTTTCTGTGTGTAATTTTGTTTTTCATTCCTTTTTAAAAATAGATGTAATCCGGACTCTCAGCAATGCAGAGGAATACCTTGATGATGAAGACTCTGATTGAGTTCCAGCCTTCTTCTTAAACTCTCTTGTATGAAAAGGAAGAAACTAAATTTGGATACACATTTGGATATTTCACACTTTCTTTGCTTCTAGGAAGATTACACATGCTTAAAAGCTTATTGTAAAATTAATTTACTTAAATAAATTAATGAACTTTTTGATCAGCAAGATTTAAATTTTAAATCTTGTTTGCATCATGGTTCAAACAAATAAAGGTTATTGAGTTTGCTGTTCTTTTGAAACTGTTTTAATAACCTGGATCCCTTAAATTTCTTGATTATTGATCATATTAGTGAAGTCAAATTTGTGCAGTCACCTTCCTCTTGACCTCAGTTTGACCACACAATTCAATGTGTTGTTAATGTGACATTAGTAAGAAATTATCCATTTATCATGTTTGTATATATCCTTAAAAATACATTTTGCTGTTTAAGTTTTAGAAATTCCGTACTGCATTAAAACTTTCTGAATGGTTTGAAATTGTATTTAAATCTTGGGCTTCTAAAAATAAATATTTAACTTCATGTATCTGCTTTGTAAGTTTTGTTTTGCTTACAAATACAAATAATGACCAGTTATTAGTTTACAACATCTGTTTGTAATGTTTGAATGCCTTAATGAGTTAACGTCACAGCCCTTTACATTTATTTCAAAATACCAGAAGCATCTTTTTGTTTTACATTTTGTATTACCCTTGCAGAATACATTACCCTAAAAATAATCTCAGTCACTTAACCCATACTGCAGCGTGTGCAAGGATATACAGTACATGAAGACTGTGTTGTACATGTATCAGAGCTGTAATCAGAATGTCATGAATAACTGGTACCTGTGATATGTTTGCCTTTTTCCATAGATCAAAATAAGTAAGGTTACTTTGAATATGACCCATGAGGCTTGTAACACACTTGCGGCCTGTCGCATGAATGTATGTTTCACCAAATTTAATGTTGGAGGCATTGAAGCTGCTAAGATCCACCTCAGCTGCCTGTCAGAAATGGCACCATACAAGAAAAAGGCACTGATATAGCACATTAGAAAATATACTCCTCAGATTTTGCAGGAGCAAAGATGCACAGACATGGCTACCAAAAGTGTGTATCTAAAATGAAGCCTTTGCTGACTACAGCACATATAAAATGCCAGTTTCCCTGGGCTACTAAAATCCCATGGAAAGTTTTGAAAAAATCCTGATCTCAGCAGTTCAGTTCCAACAGATGTGTACAGGATGTGGAGAGTGGTAAGTGGTGGTTTTTGCACACGATTGTCAAAGATGATGGTGTCTGTGTCACAGTGTGATTTACCATTTGGTGTGCTGGAAAAATGAGCCTTGTTATGTGTTTCATATCAAAGCATTTCAGGATACAGTGCCATCCAGCCAAAAGAACAGTGTAGAAGAGAGCAAAAGGCACAGAGTTTGACAGAGCCCTACTATAAACACCCAGAGAACACATGGCACAATCTAGACATGCTGCTGAGGGAAAAAGAAAATTATTCAATGCCCTTGGTAATGCAACTAAATAATAGTACGGATGTATTGATTGTGCATTTAATGTGGATTTACTTTTAATTAAATGAAACTTTTATTCTTGGTCTTGGTATTCTGCCAGGACACTGTACCTAAAAGTCACCACATGAATAAAAAGTTACTTATTTTTATGGCTTCTTATGCCAACCAATCAATGTGCTTGATGACATTTTACTTTAAATAACTTCCATTCATAGTGTTGCATTTTATTTAGTCGTTTTCTAAGTATTGCTTACAAATTTTAAAATATAAAAAAATATTTGAAACAACATATGTACTGTATGGGCAATATTTCAGAATCAGAAACTTTTTCAAAATTCATACATTAGATTAAAATGCTTCTTTGTTTCGTAGTGAACTGTACATGAAAGAAAATAGCTAATCCAGAAGGGAAAGTCCTGAAGTTGTTTTTATAACCAAAGTAAAAATGAAAACATTGGTGACCATGTCCTCAATCATAAACTCAGATCTTATATCTGTTTAATTAATTAAGTCTACCCCTAAATGTAGTATCTTTAGCAGTATTCCCATACAATATAAGGCTTGCCACACTCCTACAGTACTTCCAATATCCAAATTCGCCAACACCCAATTAACTTGAGAAGTTCAAATGTTGTATCCATAATATTTATCTGACATTAATGTGTGCTCAATACTCCCCAGCTATTTCAGACACAAGCCAGCGAGTGTCACTATACCATTTCTATCTTGTCCACACATGGCACAAAAAATGCCCTTCCTATTCCATTACCTTTCTTACTGCATTCTTGTGACATGTAGCAAGAAAAATGTGCAAGATAATCCTCACCATTATCTTAACAGTGTAGAAGTGAAAGATGTTTTAGAAGTTCATTATAATTATGTTTGTGCAATACTATTCATCCTGAAGGGTTCCGAGTCAGTTTGCATAAAGCAGAAGACTCACTTAAACCACTGCTGATGTGCAGCACCCACCTGGGTAACAAAGCATAGCAGTCATCATGCACCAGCAGCCCAATCAGCACGTATAACTACCAATCACCCAATATTGGGTCGGTCAAAAAAAAAAAAACATTTGCACTTGATGAAAGAAAAATTCTAAGAGCTGTAAAGGGAAACTCTGAAACAACTATCCATGAAATCACCAATAATATCCAGAGTGCAGAGGTTAAAGTATCACAAACCACATCGCTCAGAACATTGAGATACCAGAATTACAAAGCATAACATCAGCACCAAGAACAGAAAAGCTAGAATCGAATCTGCTTGAGTAGTATAAAGGTGAACCAGGGGTTTTAGAACAAAGTTCCATAAAAGAGAGATGAGAAGCAGGTGAACTTTTACAAAAGTAATGGAAAGTGTGGAGAATGAAAGGAACTGCAGATGGTGGAGGTAATGTCATGGCCTGACCATGCTTGCCCAGCTATTTGGCTTTACTGATGATGTAAGTAATGATGACAGCTGCAGAATGAATTCTGAATTATACAGAAGCATTTTGTCTGCTTCTGTAATAGAAAATGCTTCTGCGACCAAACCATACAGATAATGCAACCAAGAATTTCATTGGGAGATAACAGTGAAAAATGATAGACTGACTAAGTCTTGAAGAGATACGCAACCACATGCTACTGTACCTTACACTCTGACATTTACTTACACACAAAGAACGTATTGTTCTAATTATTCTGTTTTTGTTCAAACACATGGAAATTATCCAAAACTGAAATATTTTCATTCACATTATTCTTGTGATCACGTCTCGTTATATAGCAAAATAACAGTTTTTTACTTTGGTGTTGTAATAAATTTGAATTGTACTGCATTTTGTTTTGTTGGTTGCAATTTAATTTTTTTGCTGCACAGTATGCATAAGAAAAAATACATGCAGCTACTCTATCAAAATTCACAGCACAGTTTAAGTGCTGTCTGGAAAGACATGGGGTTTCTGTGTTACAAAGTTTTCAGGTAGTTCAGTAATATTTTCTGCCCCTGCTAGCATCATGTAAATCAATGTGCATGCCCTCACAATGAACACTTTGTAATTCCAAACACCATATGGTTCAGCAATAAAGAAGCCGGAAACGCAGAGGGAGAAACAGTGGGGTTTCTTGAAGGTTAATCTTTCAGCTTCGGATTCTAATTAATGTTTGGTTGTTTATGTACTTTATCCGAACCATGACTGCCCTTTGGAAGAGAGGAAAAAAATTGTGATACAGTCTGTATTGTGATGTGGGGACTGGATCTTACATGTCTAACACACACATGAAAGCAATGACATTTATTAATATATTTTCAATATTCTATTATTTTTGTAGATTAAACTACAGCATTAGAATACATTACGTACCTGAGCTGACATCCTAAGCTTGTTCAAAGTCTTTTTTCCTGAGAAAAGTTTGCTTTGTACACTTTTCAGAATAAATGACTGTTTTACAAATTGCCAAACATTTTCTTTCTTTTGCTCCTTGTATTCATTTTCTTACCACTTTAACCAATAGAGGGTCCCAAGGAAGCCAGGGCCTATCCTGGCCAGAAACAAGCACAAGGCAGGATAGACCCCAGACGTCAGTCCATCTCAGGGCACACAGAGACACAAACAAGCACACACTCGCACACATTTACACCAAGGCCAATGTTCCCAGAAGCCAATATACAGTACCCACCAGCATGTCTTTGTTCTTTGAGAGGAAACCATAGGACCAGGAGGAAAACCACACAAACACAAAGGGAACATACAGTTCAGACTCCACACAAACAGCACTCTAGGAATTGAACCCCAGGCCTCAACATTGAAGGTATCAATGCAAACCCCTGCACCGCCATGTTTGCCTACTTTCCTAATTGTTTAATTTTTACACAAATAATTACCACCTTTTTACTTGAAGACTGTTTTGAAAACATATCATAGAAATCTTTCAAAATGTGTGCACTCATTCCACCTTTTGGTGCTTAAAAAACACTTGCAATGGCAAAGGAGAAAAAATATTTCAGAGATTAAGTCTATATCATTTTTTATAATAAATGATGACAACCAATAGAAAGCTCATTTATATGAAGAAATAAGACCAATCCCATGCACAACTTAAAGAACATTTTCCGAATTACACCATCTAAGGGAACTTCATCTGTGAGCAGTGCTAGCTAAGTACCTCGAGATCAAAGCAGCTGGATCAAAGCACTTGGAGAAACAGCTTGTTGGCCTTTGCAGTATGAGTGAATTGGAAGAATTAAAAGAGCTGGCTGAACAGCCCTTCAGTGAAGTGGCATACACTTCAAGAACAAAGAGAAAGGAGATCTCAAACATTACAGTCACAGAGAGAGGCTGAGTCCCAGTTGACCAAGGCTGCAGAAAAGGGCAATCTCATCATTGAAATTGACGTATCTATCTATTTCCAGGCCTTACAGGATTTTAATTGGATGCAGGCTGTACTTTGAGATTGAATGTATACTTCTCCAAATAAAATGGAGGTTATATTTGTGGTTTATATTAGTGGCTTATTGTCACAGAATGACAAATATTGGAGGCAAACCGGCAGCTTGGAGACTATATTGACTTTACGTTTGCACATAATGGCCAGTGTTGCTGTCAGGGTTGATACAGCATGTCATTTTGCTTCTTCGTTATTTAAGCTTCTCCTCAATTAAAGGTCTTCCTAGCACAAGCACGGC